GCAGAATTGGAACAGTCCGCGCCCTGGCACAACAAAAGCGGTCAATGGTTTCGATTGTTTCGAAAGGGGTATTTGCCAATAGGCTGATTTGATGTCCAGTCTGACCACACTGGTGAGCGTCTCTCAGCTTATCCAGTGTCTGACTAACAAATGGGATAGGATAAGCATCCCGATTAGTCACCTTGTTCAGTTGTCGGAAATCGACGCAGAAACGATAACGACCGTCTGATTTTCGAACCAGCAAAATCGGTGATGACCAAGCTGATGTAGATGGTTCAACCACTCCATCCTTGAGCATACCATCCAACTCTTCGTACACTTGCTTAAGTAGAACTGGAGAGATTGGATAGTGCCTCAAGCGGATCGGCGGCGAATCCGTGACTATCGTATGCTCCACCAACTGTGTACATCCTAAAGTAGGTCCCATTTTCGCAAATGTTGCATCTACCAACTCTGTCAATTGTTTTTGTTGGAAAACCGATAACATCTCGTAGGACTGAATAGCTCCAACGTCTATCTCATCCCCTGAAAAACTCTCTTCCCGAAAATTCCATACCTCGGAAAATAAATCGGGGACAATTCCCATCTTACCCCAAAAATCCATACCCAAAATCAACGGTTGTGGCACGGAAGGAACAACAACAACATCAACAATCTTAGTTCGACCCTCTAAGGTAATAGGTAGAGATAATTCACCTAAAATCTCGCATTCGGTTCCATTCGCTACTTTGCATGCACTAACAGAACTCGGTTGAAGAGTAGTGATTTCTTGGGCGCCTAAAGATTCTGGTTGGGTAGCATATATTTTTGTTTTTAAATAACCCCATAAAAAGAAGTCTAGAGGTGATAAATCCGGTGATCTAGGTGGCCACTCCATCATCGAGCCTCTTCTACCTATCCAACGATTGGGGAAAGTTTCATTTAAAAATTGTCGTACTGGCAAAGCAAAATGTGGAGGCGATCCATCCTGTTGAAAGACAAGCAAATCTTCAGAAAGATTATGATCATTTTCTATTATTGTTGTAATACGTGGATCAATTACTTCTCTCAATAACTCAAGATATGACTCTCCATTTAAGTTTCCGCCTAAAAAGAAAGGTCCGACTATGTGGTCACCTAGGATACCACACCATACATTTAACTTTTGTAAAAAGTAATTTTGATGTTGGTATTACCTGTTACAGGTAAAAAAAGATAGTCCGCCTACAGGCGGACCTGTGCATTCCTAGTCAGTTAAAATGGGGACAGGGAAATGTAGAAATAATGTAAAAATTTTAAATGTATATTTCAAATAATTATACAATACAACTACTTATTGTGAAAATCAAAAAAACATGTTTTTGTTGTAGAATTGCACAAGTTAAGATTGCACTTTGTACAAAATGCTTGGGTTTCCGAAGTGCATTTGGGAAATTTGCACTGCTTTTTTCCCGTTCTATCTCTGAATATACACCAGTGTCCCACTGCATCGTAACGAATATCCTCTGTTGGAAAGTATGCCCTTTTGGGGGGCGTTGGAGATGCTGGCCGTCCGACGCTCCTTTTCTGCAGTTCTTGTCCATGTAGACAAAGCGATTCGGCGACTTGGGTTCTAAAAACGGGGAGCTCAACTTTTTTCTCCTTTTCTGGATGAACGCGGTGGTATAGTCTATAAGCATTTACCATTGCAATGTCCAGAAGATGGTAAAATATACGGTTTGACCATTTACGGGTCTTCATACGAATATGATATCGTCCAATGAGTCCGTCCATCAAGTCAACACCACCCATATGCCGATTATATTCTGTTATAATATGTGGGCAATCAATTTCATATTGCTTTTTTTCTTTTTTATCCCATCGAGTGACAGTCTTTGGCTTGGTGGTTGGAGTTTTTGACTTAAATAAATCGGTACCAACGTACGTTGACAAAAGTCTAACAGTTTTCGTGTCCTGCCACAAAACCGAGAAAATGTCAATTCCAAAGGCATTTCCAATGTACTCTTCGGAATACCCGCGAGAAACTTTTTTAATTTTTAGAGTAGCGTCACTTGAAAGTTTGCAGGAAGGCACACGGTTTGTGCGCACCGTACCCAAAGAGTAGATTCCTCGGCTTCTTAGATATACCATTAGTCCGAGAGACGTGTAAAAGTTGTCAAAGTATATAATGTGATTGTAAAAATTGGGAACACGTTGTGATAAGCGAACTACTACATTAGATGATGCTCCAAGATTTGGACAATTTTGGGGGACAGTATTATCACCAGCACCCGCATATATTTCAAATGTATATGAAAAACCTTTACAATCACAAAGAGAAAAAGTTTGATACCCCATTTATGAGGTTTTTTGGGAAGATACTGCCTAAGACTGGTTCCTGTCATCTTCGTCGCGCACATTTGTTCATCTACGGAAAGTCGTTGTAGCATAGGCACTGTAATAAACTGCCTGTTAAAATGATTAACAACTGATCTAACTTTATACAAGGGATCGTATCCTGCCCTTCCTTTTTCTATTGCCTTCGAATTGTCACTAAAATGAAGGTAGCGTCGGATTTCTTCAAATCGCAGTACTGGCATTGTCTGACGAATTGGTTCAAATGCATGTCTTCCCCAATATGTTCGTACATTTGGATATTTATATACTGACATATATATAAGAACACCAATAAATTTTTGTAGCTCAGTTGACTTTAAAACGAACTTCGTCTGAATATCTGTTTGTCGTGCGTATAAGTTGGTCTGTTCGGTAATATGCTGAAACAATTCGTCATTCATAAAATAGCGAAAACAGTCATACGGAGTTTTCAATTGCTTCAAATAATTTGGCAAGTCTTTTGGTCCTTGAAATATTAATTCATTGACGTGTACCTGAACATTTTTCTTTCTCCATATAATATTTTTCAATTCTGCACACTCGTTATTGACAGTCATAATATCTCCAATAAACGTTCCAGTAGTGGGGACATTAGGCCCACCTTCTTCTTTAATTAGGTCCGGTGATAGAGGACGTTTTGAACGTTTTTTGTATGTTGTGAGGGGTGCTGGACCAGCAGCATTAGTCTGATCAGAAATTTCGTCATTAGGGATTGCAGATGATGAATTAGCATCGTTAGGTCCTATTGAAGTCTCACCAGTTGATTTCTCTTGATAATTCAGCTCGTCCAACTCATCTTCCGCAGTTACCAAATGATTTGAACACGTGTCGATATCATCATCAGTATCGCAATCTGATTCGTCCTCATCGCTGGTGTCAATATCCGTAGGGATCTCATCCATCATTTCATGGATTTGATCGTCAGTCATATTTTCTAAGCCCAAATATTTTCTTGGCCAAGCCATAACTGAAAATTTACATAATCTAAGTCTAACTTTTGATATTGCAGTTTCCTAACTTTTAAAGAACACTCAGTATAGTCTTCTACAAATATATAATTTTTCTTAAACAAGGGAATAAACGATTATTACCTCTCTTCCAAAAAATAAGACAAATCAATGAATAGCGGTAATTAATTTTTTTGATACTTCTAATGCATAGGTCCGCCTACAGGCGGTTAAGACTTTTATGGAGCTCTAGGAGCCCTAAATATTTTTTTGTAATAACCCTCACAAAAAACTAAAGGTATAAGGTATTCACTACTTACCGATAATTTTTTCAGCACCAAAAAACCTCTGGAAATATTTTTAAAAAATTCACGAATTCACTGTTCACAGATATCTGAATTTTATACCCGCTCTTGACAATACTGTGATTTTACACAGGTGTTATTTTTAAATGTCAGTCGTAGCGGCAACCAATTATACACAACATCGTAGAGTGTGGTATAACTTTAGGGTGGGTTATACTTTAAACATAAAAATAATTGATTTCTAGATAAACTTTAGTGTTACAATCAAGTCCGCCTTGAGGCAGAGGAATGCAGTAGAGGGTTAATTGACGTATTTTTTTGTTTTTTGTAATAATCAGTCCTTCAAAAGTTACTTAAAGTGGATACTTTTATCTGAAAAGCACTGTATATGCTAAAATAACATCTAACCAAAAACAATTATTCATGTTCCCTAAATATAATTCAATTGTCCTTATACTATTCAAATTTTACCCAAAAAGTCAAACATCAATAGCCAAAAAAATATACAACCAATATACACCAATCTGAAATCCATATTTTTTCACTATTTCGAAGAGAAACAATTGTATAACCTCACAAAATAAACAAATATTATACTGCATTCACACAAATCAAACTATATGACACTATTAGCTTCTAAAATAAGAATACGAGTTCAGTTTAACTGCAGGCTTACGCTGGCTTATCCCCACCGCGATGAATTCAAGGTCTCCGGCTGTCACCACTTGGTACCGTTCGGCGTTAAAGGGTTAATGTAAATGCACTGAATGTTATTAAAATCAAAGGGCTGACCTAAGCGTTTACAAAAATTCCAGCACACGTTTATGGTCAAATGAATTGTTTTTTTTTTGTTTAAAATTAGAGTTACTAAAAAAGCTATTTTGGTAACTTTGTCGTAAAATTGTTTAAAATTAGATTTTAGAGTAGCATTTTTCATGTTTAAATTTAGTTTCAAAATTTTTCTGTATTACTTCTATTATGGCTTTTATTTTTGTACAATAATTGCTTTGTCCCACTTTGCCAAAACTTCAATAAAGGTATGTATACATAATAACTTGTTATTAAATAACGTCTATAAATACAGCGGTCAGTGTTTCGTGTTGTTCGAGGAACATTTTCAAAATTTTTCCTTATTCTGTGTAAAGGTATTTTGCTGTATTCGGGTTGTAAGTTGTTGCTATCAAAGTTTGGCCCTAACGGTCTGAAGAAAAAAAATTCAGCATGCGTTGCTTTTTCGTGAGCAAAATAGTAACCCAACTTCATTCTGCTAAAAAAAGATTTTAACGTTTTAATATAGTATATTTGCTTAATTTTAACCTTTTAATTAAAACAGCACTCGTTTTAATATTTGCATTTATGTTTTAAATAACTCTTTTCAGTTTGAAATCTAACTTTAGAAAGGGGGCACTTTATATGAGCTTTTATGTGTAGTATTAACTTTAAGTGCTTGATGTTGTTTCAAAAATTTATTAATTTTATTTTTAAAAATAACTACACAATCATTCAAAAATGTATCTAAGTCCTTATGACGTAAATGAACTATAATTCCAGTTGTAGCTCTACTTTTAAAACTAGATTCTACATTAGCCCATTTTACTCGTTGCCCTAATTTTGATTGTATACCCATCCCAATATGTCTATTCAAAATTAATTTTCTAAAATGTTTAAAATGTCCCACATTAGTTTCTAATTTACGTAGATCACCAATTGATAAATTATATTGCTGTCTACTACGAATTGCTTTATTACATGATTTAATCTGTCTTTGTAATCGTTTTAACCAAATCTCTGCATTTTTAATTGTAAAATTATCGAACAAAATTTTTCTCGGTTTTTTTATAGCCGCTAGTATATTGTCAGATTGTTTAATAATACTAAAAGGATTCATTTTAACACAGGCAAACAAAAAATATTAAAAAAAATTGCTTACCCTTTTCTTCCTCCTTAATTTTCGATTATTTCAAATGATGCCGCTGGTTGTGGTTTCCCAGTGTCTACTGCACCCCTGTAGATAACTGCGTATCTTGACGCTGTGAAATGCTGGATGTTTGGTCGGTACACTTCCGTAACTCTCTGCGGCAAAAAGGTTACTGCGTGGTCCAATTCTAGCAGTACTGATTCGCCAAATTTCTCTTTTACTATTTTGGCTGCTAATATAGTTTGTGGGACGCCCAACCGTAGAGCACTCAGCCTAACTACTGGTTTACTTTCTTTTTCTTCAATTAAAGAACATTTATTAAGTTCGCTTAAGTTCATCTATAAACGAATAATTTTAAAAGTTATTAACAGAAAAATAAAAAAATCTATAATTTTTCTAACGTTCACAATTGCGGTCTGGAATAATACTTTATCAATTTTCAAGTTTCAACAATTGTGGTTTGTTATCGGTGAGGCTTCATATATGTATTGTTTAAAATTATATTATATTTTATAAATGTATGATACAGAATGTCCTATTACTTATATTATTGCAAATCAATATCCGTTTTGTCTATGATCTTTTTGGACGAATATGATTTTTCAGGTGGGTTATATTTACACCGGTTGTTGGACTAGGGTGCTCCCAAAGATTTAAATTTGTTAAATCTTTTATCACTTTCTTTTTGTTTTCGTAAAATCTTATATCTCTTCTAAGTTTTGAACTTTTTCCATAAACTCTTCAATTCTACGGATATTCTGTTTGCTAGACATCTCGATACTGAGGAAAAAATATTGAAGCACCTATTTACTTTAAAAAAGATTCTTTTCGTTATTGTGCATGATTTTTCTGTTCGACGTTAATCTATACTATGTTCGTTGGATATTGGTTTTCAGAGAAAGATTAATAATACATCAATCCCTTTTAAACCTCTATCATCTTAATGAAAACGATGTGTCCTAAACAACCTGTGATGTAGCTCAATTCTACATCTGGTGCTAGTTGTAGGCCCTCGGTCCATCTGTTAAAACGCTCATGCGATAGATAGTGCGATCCTGGCGGCAATTCCTCACATATTTCGAGACGCACTTTTTTTAAGAGCGTATCGCTTAAATAAGTGTGACTGAAAGAATAATATTATTATTATTTAATTTAGTTATAACTTTTTTCTCTTGGGTACAGTACGATCTAGAAAAAATAAAAATTAAAAATGTGCAAACTATTATACAAGTTTACTTACCTGCCATTTTTGATAAATAATGAACCTTTTATTTAAACTTTTAGGTGTGGGAGCTGAATTATCCCGGATACATAAACCGCGAGTGTATGGTCAGATGGCAGTATCTAAGTATGTATTTTATTTTACAATAAACCGTATAAAATATTTACTCTTTTCTTTAGTCGACAAATTATTTTTTTCAAAACCACGATAATTTCATTCTTTTTTAAAGATAATTCGTTGAAATGAAAGCGTTGTCGTAGATGAGGCGTCGCTGTGATAAGAATGCGGTTTTTATTACTGACTTCAAGGATATAAAATATTTTTATCAATTGTTTGATAAGATGTATTTCGCCTTATTGACACTGTTCATAAGACGTTTTTCGCAAATTCTAGTTTTATACATATGAATTTTCATAGTTGTTTAACGCCGAAGTTAAATTTATTTTGCTGGAATAATAATCAATGCTTATCACTATATTAACCCTAGATTACTAACCTTAATTTACAATACCGTGAATACTAACCATTCGTAATTTTTACGATCTCGTATTTAAAAATCAAAAACAACTTGACAAAATATTTTTAATACAAAATTATACATGATGCTAACTGATACATATGTATTGAACTAAAAGAACTGATAATATAAACAAAAATTATTTTTCGGCGTCGCATGTTACACAACAACGTGCACGATGTTCAGCGCAAAATGCCTGGTGACAGGTGCTGCAATAAAGTGACGTCATTCTGCGTTTTTTGGATGGACAAATGTAACAAGTTGTGCGTTTTGCTTCAGTGGGTTCCTCTCGAGTTTGTGGCAGTGGAATTTCGCATATTTCCGAAATCATTCGTTTGAGTGAGCGTTGCAAAGTTGGAACATTTATGCGCCGCTCTAACCAAGGTCTTGTCAGTTGTTCAGAAAGTTGTATCATAAAATCTTTTCTTGAGATTATTTTCTTTCCATTTCTTTGTAAATTGGTATTAAAAATAATCCAAGAATTTATACAAGCCATGTTAAGCATGCCATAAAACATGCATACTGGCCATCTGCGCGTTTTTCTGGAACAACTTCTACTTCCACACATTTGGTCAAATGCATCTACCCCGCCTTTGGTTTTATTGTAGAATAATATTATGTCTGGCTTTCCAGTGTCCGGGCAGATAGTTGATCCTTCATGCATTGTAGATAGAAGAAGAACGCTTTTATTTCTTTTAGTTTTGTATGAAACTAGAGTCTTTTCTCTATCGTAACAAAAAATTGAGTTTCCTACCTCTCTGTTTCTCAGATTGATCATTTCAGGTGGCACTTCACGTTTATTGTGTCTCATAGTGCCAACTATTGTCAGTTTGTAAGGTGCCTTTAGAAGCTGGTCCGCAAGATTTACCGAAGTAAACCAATTGTCCATTGTTATGTTGCGATTACTTCCGTGGAGACTTTCAGTCAATTTTTTGACATAGTATTCTCCTAAGGGTACTCCGTTGGTGTCTGTATCTTTCCCAATGTAAGGTTCAGCAGCAAACATGTATTTTGTTCTCACATCACAACACATGACGATCTTCATACCGTATTTAGCGGGCTTACTAGGAATGTACATCCTAAATGGACACCGTCCTCTAAATGCCAATAATTGCTCATCAATAGTTATATAACTGCCAGGTTTATATGAGCGATTGCAATTTAGAATAAACTCATTCCAGATCTCTCGAATAGGTGCAAAACGGTCTAGTTGTCTTCTTTCGACACGTGTAGTTTTGTCATCGAACCGCAGATTATCTAATAAAAATTCAAATCTCTCACAACTCAGTGTTGCTCTGTAAATAGACCCGGACTTCTTGTAATCAAACATTTCTCTGGTGGACAAATGGTTGTCCTTTTGGACCCCTGCAAATATTAGAATGCCAACAAAAGCATGTAATTCTGGAAATAGTGGATTTGGACACTTTGTAGTTTTCAGATTTAGTTCTTACCTCTGTATTGGTATGGATCAAAATTTTTTCAAAAATAGAATCATTCAGCAAACAACGGAAAACATCCAATGGCGTCTGAGCTTCCCGTGCATCTCCTACAGATCCTTGCATTATATGTATAATATTTCGTTTTGAAATTCGCTTGCTTCTGTTGGCAGCAGAAGTACACCAGGGCCATTCTTACCCCTAAGACTTTTTCCCAAGCCGGTTTGTTCATTTTCTATGTTATGATTTTCATCTTCTAACACATTTTGTTCATTTGTTTCTTCCAAATTTTCATCTCGTTCACCAAAATTTTCTATTAGAGTTTCAGTCTCGTTACCATCAATAGAGTCATTTATTTTTAGGGTTTCTAATCCTGAAGTAGAGGCTACTGGTTCACTATGTTGTTATCTTTTTTGCCGCACGATTTTACTTTGGTCAGAATCGGTGCTTTCTGCATCGGATACACCGGGTTCATATTCTGATTCAGAGGGACTAAAATCATTCTCCAAGTTATTTTCATATTCGGAACCGCTAGATTGTATTTCTTCATCATCTGAGGAGTTAATAGACACCACTAATGCTTCTAATTCATTATCCGTTAATGGTCTTGTATCTTCAAAACGTTTTCGCTTTGACATTATATTACAAGTACACCTATAAGAAAATTATATTATATAAATGTTCCAACATAATAGTAACGTAAATACTAACCTTTCGTAATAATTACGATTCGAGGCTTAAAACACACGTACGCACTGAACTGATCGCCACCACAGATTGCAAGAACTGTTTGTTGTACCGACTAATGGAGCTAGACGCAGCGTCAGAATATTCTAGAAAAACCTAGCACAACCACACGATAAGCAGTTCCTGTACATTAGTTTCATTACTATCTTATGGTCAACCTAACGATAAAAGTCCCTGTTTTATGGTTTCATGTGGTTAGTAAACGTTACCACTGATGATTATAATTTTATGCTGGCGGTTAATTAGAAATAAAAAATATCAAATTTAATAAATACATTTTTACCAAATTTAATTACCGTTAAGACCTTTTGACAACTTCGTTTTATTGTTCATTTATTATCACAGAATAGTCTTTTCGGCATTCAAATCGGTTCATATTATGTATTAAGACCTTATTATCATAATGTTTTCTAGGTATATATTATCTAAATGTTTCGAGATGTAATTATCCCACTCACTCCGTTTTTTTCCATTTGAATTGGGCCAATAATACTCGAGATATACACTTACGTCAAACGAAAACAATTATGCATTAAGACCTTACTATCATAATGTTTTCTAGGTATATATTATTTAAATGTTTCGAGATGTAATTACCCCACTCACTCCGTTTTTTTTTCATTTGAATTGGGCCAATCATACTCGAGATTTACTCTTACGTCAAACGAAAACAATTATGCATTAAGACCTTACTATCATAATGTTTTCTAGGTATATATTATTTAAATGTTTAGAGATGTAATTATGCCACTCACTCCGTTTTTTTTCCCATTTGAATTGGGCCAATGATACTCAAACGGAAATGTCAAACGAAAACGTCAAACGAAAACGTCAAACGAAATGCAAAACAAAACGTCAAACGGAAACATCAAACGAAAACGTCAAACGAAAACGACAAACGAAAACGACGAGTTAATTTTTATTTATATTTAAATCCAATGATGGATAGAAAATGGCTACCTTAGTGTGACCTGACATGGCAACTAGTTTGACCGTTTGAATAATAGCAGTCGCCGCGCCTGATTTTTCTCTTCACGTATCCCCCCAC